TATAGAAGTCCCGACGGAAATATTTTGCTTGGTAAAGATGATTTTCTTTTTTGCTCTTGTTTACGAGGTTAAGGCTAAACTGCAAAGTTCCAAAAAAAGGTCCTCTCACTAACGCGATAGCGCGCACACATGTATATATATTGTAGTGAAAATCCTCCCCAAAAAAAAAAAAATAGGGTCAGAAAATCAATGAGTAACAGTTGTTTATTATCGTTTCATGAACATTTATATCATTTTTTTGGCCTTTTACTAATTGTTCGTCTCTGTCTTAAATTCTCGGTGTTGCATATCAAAATGACCTTACTAGGGTTATAGGTAACTTAACCGTTTTAACTAGGGATGACAAAAATTTCCATCCTAAATGGTAAATCCCATTCCCACCCGAATTTCTGGAACCTGCTCTAAATCTTTTATTTTTACTTTTTTTTTTAAAAATTTAAATCATCTCTAGAAAAGTAACTAATAATATTAAAGAAATAAATATATAACTAAATTGGGGTAGTCATTGTGAATGTTTTAATTCGTCTCTCGTCTCCATCCCCCATTGTCATTTATTTAGCTTTAACTCTTATTCAAGTTAAATATACAAGGGAAATGATTATTGTACTTCACAATTTATAATTTTTTTTGACATATTGGTGAGGTGGCAAAAAGAAATGGGAATTTTATTTTTTTTAGTTGGTCGGTGAAATTTTGACTCAATCATATCACACTGTATTATATGTTGGTAAACAATCTATAAGTCGTGATGTATACGTAGAACAATCAAATATTTAATTTTGAAAAAAAATGCATCATCAGTCTGCAACTTATTGTCCTAGTAACCACTGGCGGAGATAAGGGTGGGTTTTAGTCCACCATTGCCCAAGCCCAGCTTATTAAAAAATAATTTGGTTAAAGTCCAATTTAACCCACTGTCCAACCCACTAGCCCAATTTTTGTTGAAACCCAATTTCACTCTCTCTTAATTTGAGAAACCCAATTTGCAACCCTCTCTCTCACAAGTCACGCCCTTTACCCGCAAAACCCTCTCAGCCTCTCAGCTCTCTATGACTCTCTTAATTGAAACGGCCAACCAAACCCTCCCGTTAAGGCGTCAACCGAAGTCCAGCATTCGTTGAAGCTCGAAGTCCGAACGCTGTCTGTGAGAAAGGTGTTCTCACAATTCAATTAAATCCGGTTACTGAACGCCGTCTTGGTGTCATCTCATTCCATTTTTTTGCGACAGTCTCGACACCAAGGTAAGGTCTACTAAATGTCTAAATCTAGAGTATAAACGAGCATATCTAGATGATGTAGTTCAAGTTAAAAAAAGTTCACTCCAGTCTCCAAATCTTGACAAGAAGTTTGGCTGGAAAAAAATGTTTTGTCTGTGCAGTGCGTGCGGTTGTGACTGTGAGTTGTGCTTCAGCCTTCAGGCTTCAGTTCAGCCTTCATTTGCGGCCTGCAGTGAGCCAGTGAGGTATGTTTGCGCCTTGTGGCCTTCAATTGTGTTTGTGTCATTGTGTGTGCAGTGCAGTAATGCAGTTATATGGAAATTGGAAAAGTTCAGTGATATTTGACAAAATGGAAAAGTTCAGTGATTAATTGTGTGTGTGTGTGTGTGTAGTGCAGTGCAGTGTAGTAATGCAATTAGATGCACTGATGAGGCTACTAGTGATTAGAGGGGCTGCTAATTGCTAAAATTTATAATTATACTCCATTGAATAATTTGAAATTGAACGGTTGCTAGTTGCTAAAATGGGAAAGTTAGTTTGGGAATTTAGTCAATAGCAATTTAACCTATGATATAATGGTAAGAATTTATAGGATATTGAAGTTTTTTTAATATTTATGCTCTTAGGTTTAATATGGAGGAAGATCGAGATTCTTCCAAGAAATGAAGAACTTTGTTATCTTTCTTTTCAAAGAGTAACAAACATCAGGGTATTCCAATTCCTACGGTATTCACTCCAAATCCAATTTCATCCCCTGAAGTTGAACAATCTTCATCTTCCAATCTTAATGTGGAACCACTTGATTCTATTGAACGGGATCTAGGAAAAAGAAAGCAAATATGTGAACATCCATTTAATGAACGCGATCAGATTAGGGGAACCTATCTAAATGCTGAACTTTATCAACCAAAACTTTTGGACTATCAGAGTAAAGAATGTGGAAAGCAGAAACGTCGATTTCAGGAGCGTTGGTATAATCAGTTTCCTTGGTTAGAATGTTCACCTTCAACACACAAAGCATATTGTTTTTATTGCTTCATTTTTCTCAATGATAGTGCTCCATCTATTATTTCATCGTTGGTGACAGTTGGATTTGACAGTTGGAAGAGGGTTAACCAAGGAAGAATTCGCGACGAAGTTGGGGATGCGAAGTTCAGTATTCTTGTTAACGAAGCATTGATGAATCTTCACGAGAACAAATGGCCATTATTTTGAGGTTTGTGAGTAGTAATGGAATTTTGACAGAACGTTTCTTTGCAATCAAAAGCATTANTCCAATTTTCAAATTTAATACTAAAGTGTCTATTATGCCCTTAATGAAAAAAAGTACATTTGAATCTCTACGTATTCTCGACATTTAAAATGTCATTCTCAACATTTGAATCTCGTTTTATTTTTTAATAGTACACACGTCAAATCACAATATTAAATGTTCTCGACATTTCAAAACGTCATTCTCGACATATTAAATGTCTAGAAGGATATTTCATTTCAAACATGACATTTCTCTACGCTTGAAATGTCGTTCTCGACATTTCTGTGTCAATGTAAAAAATATCATTAATTATGATTTGACATCTGTCATTTGCAATAAATGGAGCAGGTTATGTGTCAAGATTTCATTAGCCCATGTTTTTTTTGCAAAAATGTTCATTTTATTGTCTTTGAATGGAATCACAAATTGTTGACCATGGGTATTTTGGTCTAAAATATACCAAAATGGTCATTTGTGTAAAGATTTTTGAAAGTTGCCATTTTTACAAGTGACTAGAAGAAAGTGGACATTTCTTACAATTTCCACTTGATTATACTAAAGTTGTAAATGATATTCTAAATTGCTGACATCTTGTCTACTTTTACATAAAAGTTAACAATATTTTATTCAAAATAAAATAAAATTATGTCAAATCTAATTTAAAAGACCACTGCAAATGTGATTCATTATGAGTTCAAGGCGTAGCTCAGTCAACAAGAATGAAGTCTTGGGACAATGACCCGAGTTCGAGTCTTATTTCTAAAAAAGGGTGAAATTAAAAAGAAAAAAGTGATTTATTCGCATTATTTGTAACAATCTTTTTCATGTATTATTATTCTGAAATAATGTTGACTTCCTAAATATATCATCAAGCTAATGTTTTTAATATATTTTTCTTCATAAATATAAAATAAAAAGGTTACAATTTTATTTATTTTTTAACTTGCATAGAATCAATCTAGCTTGACAAAATGCACAATGCTTGATTTTTTTGTTGACTATGGAATCTGTACATATCATAAGCATTGTTCTAAAAAAAGGTAATGCGTATCTAGGTATGGAAGTCAAACTTTAAGTTTTACGAGCTTATGCGAGATTTACGAGTGAAAAAAATATTTTATTATTTTTTATTTTAAATTTAAAATTATTCTAAAAATTATTTGATAATTAAAATAATTCATGCCAAATATCTAAACTTATAAAATATTATATTTACTTACAATTCTTACAATTATACAATTTTCAAAGGAAAGACTTAAAACTAAAGTCAACAATAAACTTTTAAAAAAGGGGGAAAAATAGTAAAGCGCGCTTTGTAAATGATCAAATCGGCAATTGACCGCTAAATTCCACGCTCACTATCAAAACGTGGTGTTTCACCTTCACCAAGCATCTAGACGTATTTTGTAAAACACTGATCATTAACATTGAGCTAAAGAACTGTTGATTAATTCATAGAGTGCCTCTAATGACAAAAATGCACACGCTAGTGATGTACGACGAACCCATTTGTCGTATATGAACAAAATGTCATTATTATATCGATTACCTGATTGTAAAGTTTTCGTAAGTTGTGTTTTGTATTTACGTTTGTGCCTTTTACGTGACACTATTTTTGATTAAATTGACAAGTACAATTCAATATATGTATGTTCCTTAAGTACAAGCATTGTCTCGACAAGTATAATTTATATTTACAATAAATATATTCTTACTCCATTCTATGATAACAAAAACAATTAAAAAGGACTAAAAAAATTTATAATTGATAATCTATTTTAATATTGGAGAAAGATAGTATGGGATAGTAATGCTAAATGAATTTTAAAATTTTTACAAAGTATCTCAGAGCATGTTTGCCTCGGCCTAAAAAATAAAGATTATTCTTATTTTGAAATTAACTGTTCAAGGACAAATATGTTTGGATAATTTACTATTCAATGAAAAAAATTAACTTTTAAAAGTAATTCTTACATTATACTGTATTGGGTAATTGGCGCAAAACGTCCCTACCTATGACAGTTCTTGTGGAAAACGTCCATACGTTTGATTTTTTGATGCAGAACGTCCCCACTTTTGCATTTTCTTGCGCAAAACGTCCTTTTCACCAAATTTTAACATAAAATGACAATTATACCCTCCTATATAAATAAAACAAAAACGAAAAGAAAAGAAAAATAAAGAATAAATTGCAATCTTACTCCTCAACGTTTTAAAAAATGTAAATGAGTCCAAAATTTATAAAAATATTAAAAATTACAAAAAAATTCTCCAAAATTCATAATGAAGGGTGAGATGGGACCAAGTGGCAGGGCGTGGGAGAAGACGAACATGACATTGTCGGTTATTTTTTGTGCTCAGATTGTTAATCTCATCAGTTTTTCTTTTAAGCAAACAAAGATATTCAAAACTGAAACACCAATGAGAATCCAAATGCTAACTCCAAGAGTTTAAAATTAAAATGTAGAGTTGCTCTTGCTTAAATGATTGTAACAGAGCATTTTCGACTGCTTAGCTACGTGTTCTTTCTAGTAACGTCCAACGCCCCAAACTTTGACGACATCGTCCGTGTAACGGCTGAATAGTGTGCTCCCATCCATACTCCAATTGAGACTAGTGCAGTATAGAATCTTGTTTTTGTTACTGGTTTGAGTAGTCTCTTCAGCAGCCATCTCACTCTCCTGTTTCAAATCAACCTTAAGATCCACAACAACAGTCTTGCTCTCCAAGTCCCAAATCGTAATGCTGGCTTCAGTGGTTGCACAAAGCCAGTACCTATTGGGACTGAAGCAAAGTGAATGAATAGTCGAACCCGCTTCCAAAGAGTAAAGCTTCTTCCCTTCAGCCAAATCCCATAGCAATATCACTCCATCTTTCCCTCCACTCGCGCATAAGGACCCATCAGGCGAAACAGCCACCGTGTTAACCGAACCAGTATGCCCAGCCAAGGTTGATTTCATCTTACAATTAGACAAATTCCATATTTTCACAGTCTTATCCCAAGACCCAGAAACTATAGTTGGCTGATGCGTATTAGGCGAAAACCGGACGCAAGAAACCCAATCAAAATGGGCATCGCCGTCTTGAATAGTGTACTTACATTCACCCAAAGTATTCCAAAGCTTAATGGACTTGTCACGCGATGCAGAAACAATCTGCCTATTATCAATGGAAACTGCAACCGCCAACCCATCCATAGTGTGGCCAACAAATCGGCGAGTTGTTGGAAAATGCAACCGACAACACATCCTTAGTGTGGCCAACAAATCGGCGAGTTGTAGCACCAGTCTGAAGGTCCCAGAGGCGGAGCTCGCCGTCCCAGCTCCCAGAAAGTGCAAACATACCGTCGGAGGAAAGGACAACATCCTGGACGAAGTGGGAGTGGCCAGTAAGGCGGCGGCGGGCGACGCCATATGTCCTGTCTTCCTTGGTGACATTCCTCTCTTGTTGGATACATAGTTGGCTGTTGGAACCACGATCCCCTCCACACCATTTCTTGATTATACGTATCCCTTTTCTATCTATACCTATTCCGATTTACAAATTTTGATCTTTGATGAAGATTAGTGAGCTATGGTTTTGGCGGCAAGGGAAGAGAAGAGGGGGGAGAATTTTTTCGTAATTTTTAATATTTTTATAAATTTTGGACTCATTTACATTTTTAAAAACGTTTAGGAGTAAGATTGCAATTTATTCTTTATTTTTCTTTTCTTTTTTTTTTTGTTTTATTTATATGGGAGGGTATAATTGTCATTTTATGTTAAAATTTGGTGAAAAGGACGTTTTGCGCAAGAAAATGCAAAAGTGGGGACGTTTTGCATCAAAAAATCAAACGTAGGGACGTTTTCCACAAGGACTGTCATAGGTATGGACGTTTTGCGCCAATAACCCTACTGTATTAAAAGGTAAATTATTTTCTGACTTTCACCAATAAAAAATAATTCAACTTAAAATTCACTGTTTATTTATAAGTAAATTTACTCAAACTTTTTAAGCTTAGACAAACATGCACTACCCCAACTCCCCTTCCCCACCCCCAACAGAAAGAGAAGCATTTATCATCTCTCTTTAACCACTACTCCCTTGCAATTCTATACACACTGTCGTTATATGTGTAGCTTTTGTATGTATATATCACTCCTAACCCTAGCCCGACCCCATTTCCGTCAGCATTCTTTATCATTTCTCGCAAAACTAAGAAAAATCAACCGACTGGGTTTCAATTTCAAGACTTTTTTAACCATTCAAGTTCCTCTTTCAAGCAGCAAGTATATAAATTTATGCAAAAATTTGTCTGGGCAATTTTTTTATGTATTGATATACCCGATTTTGTAGTTTTTTAATTTAAGCTAAACTTTTGGGGTTTGTTTTTTCATGATTTTTTAGGTGGCTGGAATTGGTATGCATTTGTTAACGTATGATGGAAATGTGGATATAGATATACCACATGTAGAGAAATTAGTTAGAGACAGACCAGGGATATGGATGAAATTGAGGGAGGGACCTGTTATTGGGCAAACATGCCCCCAGAGCTATTGAGGGAAGTGTTGATGAAGATAGAGGATTCTGAATCCAGTTGGCCCGCGAGGAAACACGTAGTGGCGTGTGCAGCTGTGTGTAAAAGCTGGAGGGAGATAATTAAGGAGTTGGTCAAAACCCTTGAGGTTTCTGGCAAAATCACTTTTCCTATATCCATTAAGCAGGTACAGTTTCTCAAGACTTAGCTGTAAATATATTTTGTACTTGTATTAGTTGAGCGTTTAGTCAACTTTTGTTGATAGTTATGCGTGGATAATTGTTTTGGGTAGTTTTTTATTTGCTGGTTTCGAGCAAGTATGAATTATGGTTTGGGATTATGTGACAATTAGACAATTCTACTGTGCATTGCTTTTGTTATGAATTAATAATCATGAGTGCATGTAGCGAGCCTCTATGGAGTTGTCTATTTAGGGTGACTGGTCTCCTGATAAGTCTGGGGCTGTTTCTTGATTCCCCTAAGTGCAAAATCTAACTTTTTTTTTTAAGGAAAGGTGAATTAAGCTTTTCGAATGTTGTGATTCTACAAAGTCGCATATTCTTTTATGACCTTATCATAGTGAAATTTTACCTTGTTGGCGGGAAAAGAAATATAGAAATAAAAGGACTGGATATGGTAATGTTGATTTTGACCACTTTATTTTATATTTAGCCAAGAATTTAGTTAGAAAACAGTGTGATCATATGTAGAATTTTTGAACTTTCTAAAGCTAGTTACATGAAATTTTTGGTGCCGTCAAGTCTCGACTTAACTTTTATAGAGCTAGATTGACGATCATACAAGGAGAGAATTTCTGGTAGACTAGTGTCATCTAAGTTTAGTTTGGTTGGTGATATTAATTTTGCAATTCAATTGACCTTAAATTATATTGATTGTCAGTTTGGATGATAGATTTAAAGAAAGAATGCGCTGAGCATGATTATGAATTTTCACAGTTCTTCAAATTGTTCCTGAACATTTCAGATTTTTATTTTATGGAGAAGATTGATAATCATAAAAGCAAATCATTTAGTGAAGTTTTCAAGTTGCATTATCAGTTTGGGGTTCAATTCTTTAGCACTGGAGTATAAAATTTCCTTTTGAATTTGTTAGTTTCTTGTCTTTATTTGTGCCTTTTGTATCAAGTCAGTAATTTTATATATCCTCTTTGGTGACATAGATGGCAATTGTTTTGTCTCTTTATATGGATTTGTCGACTATGCTTTTGAATTCTCAACCAATCAGTTTGTAGTTTCAGAAAATTAAATAGATCCACATAATGGTAGCTGCCAAATCCAATTTTAACTGTGCTCAACCTTTTGCGATGAAGAGATTCTTTTAGTGACTTTGAGGGCAGGTCAACATCTATAAGTCGTACGAATATCAACGCTGACATTCACTGGTTTTCTTGAACCAGCTATACCTTTAATAAAAGTTATTCTAAGTTGGCATTCTTCAATTTGTGTCTGTTCTCCATGTTATGCAATGCATTTGTATTTATTAGCGATAACATGCCAAGAATAACTTTTATTTTTTCGCCCTTCCTCAATTAATATTTTACTTCGGGAACACTAGACAAATTATCTTCTTTTATCAAATGCGTTTAGTATCTTATATATTATTATTTGAAACATTTTTCTGCTTTGCAGCCAGGTCCAAGAGAATCTCTTATCCAATGTTTTGTAAAACGGAATCGCGCTACACAAATGCATTATCTTTACCTCAGCTTAAGTCAAGGTTTGCGCTGTTGTGTCCCCGACTACCTCTGGCTTAGCTAGACTATTCTTGTATGTACTGTCTACTACTCATCACTCTTTGCCAGATACCTTCATAGTATTTCTTGGCAAGAGGATTCATAAACGGTGTCTTGTTTTCTCTTGACATCCATTCTTCTCTCCGTGGCAGCTCTGGCTGGTGATGGTAAGTTTCTTCTAGCTGCTCGTAGGTTTAGGCGCCCTGCATTCACAGAGCATGTGATCTCTCTACATCCTGACCATATGTTCAGGGCAAGTGGCTCTTATATAGGAAAATTAAGGTGTGTCTTCAACTTTTAGCTTGTTGATTGATACTTTGCATTTCCAGACGAGAATAACTGCAGCCTTTTATGTCAGCAGATCTAATTTTCTGGGAAATAAGTTTGTTGTATATGATGCTCTGCCTCCCCATGCTGGGGCTAAAATTCTCCAAACTCGCTCCACTCAGATGGTTGGCTTAAAACAAATATCTCCAGGAGTCCCTACTGGCAACTATCCAGTGGCCCAGATCATGTATGAGTTGAATGTGCTAGGAGCCAGGTAAGAATGGGATTCATGCTGTTCTTGTAGTCTTATTCAATCAACAGATATAGTAAAAAATTTAAACAGAAAATGCTCGATCTTAATTGAAGCAGTATCCTTAAAAGAGTAAAATGAGTCACAAAGTCATTTGTTAAACAAATGCCCATGGTATTTCTCATGCGATGAAATCATAAAATAATTATGTCATTGAGTATCTAAAAGATTGGATATTAATGTACTGATAAATTATGCCACATTCAGGAGTCCAAGAAGAATGCATTGTATCATGGATTCAACTCCCGCTTCTGCCATTAAACCTGGAGGTGTGGCTCCCATACAGGTCGATTTCCCTTTCAGCAATGCCAATTCCTTTCCAGCGATCCCCTTTTTTTGGTCAAAGTCAAACGGATTGGATAAATCCCTGTCTGCACCTTTGAATAGCCAAAGAGAGGCATCGCTTGTTTTGAGAAATGAGGCTCCAAGATGGAACCAGCAGCTCCATTGCTGGTGTTTGAACTTTCAAGGACGGGTGACAGTTGCATCAGTGAAGAACTTTCAGTTGGTGGCTTCTCCGGAGAATGGAGTGGTTGGGGCAGGAAATGAGAAGATCTTCCTTCAGTTTGGGAAAGTCGGGAAAGATGTGTTCACCATGGACTTCTGCTATCCACTGTCAGCATTCCAGGCATTTGCCATCTCCCTTAGCAGCTTTGATACTAAAAGTACTCATGGATGATACACATTGAGTGGTATAAATCTAATTCCTTCATCCATATATAATGTCTTAGTCAAATACATGATATATTGTTCTGCCTTAATTACCTTGTGCATGCAATCTTATCCCTAATCAGTCAAAAATATGACATTTTATAAGTAGCCATCTCGCCTTGTCGTTCTTCTATTTTTGCAAGTGTTGCTCTGTCCATGTTCCTATTCTCTCTGCGGCACTTTCTTCAAATTCACGTTCCTACATGAGTTTACATTCTCTATTTCATATATCAAAATAACTGCACGTTTCAGATTTTAGTCGCCTGTTTTTTTGAACTTTGGCAAACCATGGATAATTACATTAGTTTTGATTGGTTTGATGATCATACGTTTTAGTTAACGATATTCTGCCCACCACGCCCTCTGCTACTAACTACACGTTTCTTAATTTCCAGGGAAGTGATTGTATTGTGAATGCTGAACAAATAAGATGAAGAGGCTAGTCTCATCTCTTTTATACTTTTCCATGTTTCCATCTTTCAACTTTTAGTAGCGGGATATGAAAAATATTTAGAAGTTTGTCTACTTTTTCTGTCCTCTTTTCCATTGTGCATACTTGTTTATTTTGGAAATAATCTTTTGTTGCTGTTGTGAATATTTCACCTTTTCTTGCTTCTTGCAGTAAAGGGTTATATCACTTTTCCACCCACCACATTCTATCAAAGTTTCAAGGGAAAATTGTATTATTAGTCCCCAACAGACGGACCTTGTTGCAATATAAACGTTGACTTCTTTTTCTTGGGTGCTAATGTTGCAATTTTCCATTCTTTAACGACTTGCCTCATTCATTTTCCCTATTTTTTTTGCACATTTTGCTCCGAGTTCATGCAGTCTGATTTATGTTGCACATACGTTTTAAGTGCCAAAATTCGAATTCATAAACTTGGAAGACATGAAATCTTACATGGTATGTGCTAGTTCACCACTTTGTGTATGCAGTTTAGTTTCCTCATAAGTTTCTTTGTTTTAATGTGTCATTAAGGTAAGTTTGATGTGCAGTTCTAAATAGAAAATAAAACTGGATAATATGATAGATAAGATTTTAGTTCGATTTTTTATTTTTCCCTGAAAATTTTCAATATTGTACATTTGACCTTTCCAAACAAGTCATTAATACTATCCATAATCCATATTTGTTGTTGGGCCATATAGGACGGGTCATGGACTCAAGTTTGAATTTTTGTCTGGCTAGACCTATACTAGGCTTTATGCCGGGGATTTTACCATTGATCCCAGCTCAGGAGACATTCGTGAAAAGTAAAATTTGAATAGGTTTTATTCATTCTGCATGTACACCCTTGTTAGTTGATAACAAATTGAAGACTTTAGTACAAAACTTTTTTTTTCTTTATTTAAAATTGACATAAAGAAGAAACAAGATAAAAGTAAAAGGAATAATACTACTTATGTGTAAAGGAGTTACATAATGATTTACATGTAGATGAGCTGACAAACGTAAGGGGGGAAGTTTTTTTTTTTTAAATTTAGTCAAACAAATTCTAACGCAATCATATTTCACCATATCATGTGTATGTAAACCATTATGTATATGAAATACAATTAAAAATAAAAATGAAGAAAAAACATTAAATAAGGTAGAATAATGATATTTGTACCTATTTGGACCGAATGAAAGATCAGATTTTACATATAATTTAGACACAATACAAATGAATCTGAGACTTCAATTTAAGACTAACAATAAACTTATAGGGTATCGAGTATTGTTTGAACGGATAGTTTTCTTAATCAAAAATAAAAAAATATGCTTCTAATATTTTCTTCCAAATAAACACTTAAAAACTGTCTAATCTACCTTACGAACACGTCTTGATTTTTTCTACTGACTATACTCGATGATGAAAATGATAAACCGTTCTCATCCATATATTCTTCTATTTTTAATATAATATAATAGCCACAAGCAGTATATATCTTGCCCAGAGACGGGGAAAAGCTGATTACAAATCTAGTGAACTTTACAATACTAGACAATATTAAAGAAGAAAAAGATCTCAGCCCTATCAAATACTGCGTACAGAACATGCCAGGTTGTGAATTACTAGGATTACAGTTCTGATAATATAGATACACTGGGTCGAATTCCTCTACTAGCATAGAATTGCTTAAGCAACTTGCTTGTGGAGATTCATATCAGGGAGGGAGTCGGCAGTTTCGTCATCTTTCAGTGGCAAATCATCCGAGTGCAGATTTAACTGTTTCAAGTTCCGGACGAATTGAGTAAACGAAGGGAAATGATCAGGAGAAAAGAAATAAGCTCCCATTCTTTGATACGTAAACAATTCGACTGCATTTTCATCCGACAAGTTCTTTTTTATTTGTTCGATAGCTTTAGGACCACCTGAAACCAGAGAGTTTTGGCCCGAGACTTCTACTCCGTGCTTTCTGCAAGACGCTGTTATTTGAGCAAGCAATAATTCTGGGCTCGACCGGGATTCATTTGGCTGGTGATCATCCGATAGGTCCATTCCAGGAAGTATAATATTGCACGAATTTCTCGAGAAAGTTTCAGCAATTGCCTCATAACCGTCTCTATTTACTGTGTTATAGACTCCAGCAGTTAACTCTGAAGGGTGGGATCGGGTTCTATACCATGAATACGTCAGAGGGACTTTACCAGACAAAGAAACAGAGACGTCCTTAAATGTTTCGGCAGCACGTGACAAAATCCGATCACCATGAGATACTAGCTGGCTTGAGTACCAAGAAAGGAAGAAATCTCCATATGGGTTCTCCCAAGATCCTCCGTCCACAAAGAAGCCGTTCGAGACTGGTGACTGGTCATAGCCGGGGGTGTCATGCGGGCCGCCTAATCCCCATAGAGGATTCCCAAGTGCTTCTGCATGCTGCTTAAGATTGCTTAGCATGTTCTTGTCATAGCACTGAAATTCTCCTGCTCCAAGTTGATTACTGTCTTTGGTTGTCTGCCGTTGAGATGGATACCTAAGCTCACCATCCGGTCCAAGACCAATTGATATGCCCTGTTACAAGGAGATGTATGGTTACGAGAAGTATGATGAGAACTCGGTTTAATAAGCTTAAGCCTGTTCATACGATTTCAGATGATCTTTAACCTGTTATTGAAGTAGTATTTGTAAAGTTCAGCTGGTGCAGGTTACCCAAGTATGTTTTTATTTCAGTGTTAAAAACTCCGTCGTCAAAGTGAATCCCACTAGAAAATGGATAACAAAAATTCGAGTTAGCGTACCGTGATTGTGGACCCCATGAAAGCCGAGAACGATGACTTGAAGCTCTCACAGAACCCCGTGTATGCTTCAATTGGTGTCTTTCCATCTAGAACAGGAAGATCATCCACAGCTAAGGATAGACAGTCTTTATAAGGCTGTCCAGATCGATCAGCAAAGTAAATATCTGGTCGGGATTCGCCAATATGGGAAACCCATTCAGGAAGTCGGATTTTGGGTTCGTTGGACGCATGAAAACACAGTGATATGTGAAGCTTAAGACCCATTTTCCTGACCATTTCTGCAAGAGCTAGGTAGCATGTCCAGTCATATTTCCCCATTGCTTGCTTCTCAACTATTCCCCACCAAACAGGAAGCTCCACACCGTCTACCCCCAGTAACTTCAAAGCCTTCAGTCCAACAGCAATTGCTCGTGCGTTGTTTATTGTACCAGAGTCGGAGACAGTATCAAGCGGCAGCCCAACGTATAATTTTACACCATCAATCTGCAAGCACATTTAAATTTGAATTCGGTCGAAAACAATGAAAAAGTATTCGTATTGGTTCCTCGGATTATCTCATAAAAAGCCATAGCATTCAGAAACAAAGCAAAGACCTATCTCAATCATATAGTATTGAAACAGACTACAACAAACACTGATTCAACATTTTTCCTTCCTTAATCTTATATAGGTTCAATCCAAACTACTACCAAGCATGCCATAAGAAGTTTCCAGGGACGTGTTACTTCTGAAACATTTTCTTTGAAGTTTAACAAATTGACTCTGGTTATTTGTTCCTATGAAGGTAAAACAGTAAATATTCTTAGAACAATGCTAAAACTTTCGCAAATACTTCAATTTCCACGACGATCTCCACAAGATTATCGTAAATCCTACCAACCACAGTCCAAATTTCAGAACTTCTTTCATTTTTAAAGTTTTTGAAAATTTAAGGTCCTCGGTTTTCTCAAGGAAAAACGTAAGAAAAGTGAAAAACACACAGCACTTTTTAGACTAAAGCCAAAAAAATCTTTCTTTTGAACCAGGCAAATATGCTTCTAGCATCTCTTATATGATGACATCAAACAAAAACAAACATAACAGAAAATTATCGAACAAGACACAATAATTTAATCCTAAATTACTCGTGTTGCATAAGACCAAAAAAATAAAAAATAAAAATAAATCAATAATGAACAAAACCTAAACAGAAAGTTAAAAACAAAATAAAATGAAGAATTTGAAAACTTACGGGCCTTGTTGTTGTAATTTTTGAAGCTTTCTCAGAAATTAAAGCAGCTTCAGCTCGAACGTTGAAGGCTTTAAGGGTGACGCCAGAGGAAGATTTCGCATGCCAAATCATGTTTTGACCTTGATAAAAATTGCATGTTTTTGGATTATTTTTTGAATTATAGATCTTAGGATTCGGGCTCTTGCTAAAACTACATAACCCAACATTAATTTTTCCGAAATTCACCTGCGAGTTTCCAATCACCGAAATCTCCATGTATTATGTATGAATTTGAAAACCCAGGTGAAAAAATTGAAAATTGTTTACGAGCAAGGATTGGTAATCAACAACCAAAAAACGGATCTATGTCCGCCTCAAGTTTTTCAGGAATACTGAATAAACTTGGGAGATAGAAAAAGGGTGTTTTGAATTTGTGAAAAGTGAGATAATTTGCTGTTCAATTCGTAGATTTATATAGAAAATTGGGATAATTTGTGGTTGTAACAGGAAAGAAATCGAATTCATTTGGAGGGCTAGTTTTTGAAGAAATGAAAAAGAGAAAGTGGTACAATGGACACGTGTTATTCTGACAGACACTCCCACACACATTTGACAATATTTAAATGATTTTGCCATATACACTCAACTCAATTTTCACGCTTTGGATGGCACTTTCAATGTTGTCAAGTGATAATTGAATAAAAAAATGTTTAAAATTTAGGGTGGGCTTGTTCCTCGTTATTGGAAGAAAAATAAAGGAGTTAAATGTTTCATTGGCCACTGAACTTTACACCGTATCACGGTTTACTCACCGAACCTCAATAATTATCCCATTGATCACTAAACTTTGCTCCGTCCAACTTCATCACTCACTCGATAAAAATAGTTAATAAACGTGTTGATATGGGAGACGGAAAAACGACGTGGCCAGTTAACTCCTTTCAAGTACTAAGTGACTTGCCAACTCAACTTCCACGTCATCAAATCCGTGTCGGGTCTCTTCTTCTTCGCCCGCTTCTTCTTCTTCCTCCTCTTCTCCTCCTCACACCCGACCCGTTCTTATCATTCCAAATTTCATTTTCACAACTGTAAAGGTTGTCCCATTTCGCAGAACTGTAAAGGTTGTCATATACACTCAACTCAATTTTCACGCTTTGGATGGCACTTTCAATGTTGTCGAGTGATAATTGAATAAAAAAATGTTTAAAATTTAGGGTGTGTTTGTTTCTTATTATTCGGAGAAAAATAAAGTAATGAATAATTTTTTTGAAAAATGTATGGTTGAAATTTAAAGTAATTTTATTGATTTGTATGTAAAATATTTTATTAGGTGAATGTGTAATGGAGAATCTTATTGTAGTAAACAATCTTTTGAAATAATGATAGACAAATAGAGGCTTAAGCTGTTCAATCAGATAATACCACATTACAAGGTGTACACCAAAGTATAAATGTAACAAGGTTCTATTTTAAATGCAGTTTTTTTTTTCCTTTTTAATTAGTTATTTTTCATTTTGTTGATAAGAAAACTTGGTTTATCCTTTTATATTTCATTATCTTTAATGCTAAGAAGAAAAACAAATACATCGTGACTAATTATCCATTCGCTAAAAATGAAAGTGTCTTCTTTTTCTTCATACATTTTTCTTTTTTGCGACCGTAACAATCACTTCAAGCCATTTAAAGAACATAAAAATGTGCTCCAAGTCGTTGGACTACTGGACAGAATCCAATCAAGCCATATCTTCTATCGCTTTTTAACCAAAAAATTAAAAAGAAAAAATCTTCTTATGTTTGCAATAATTGTTTTTTATGGTTTTTTTAAAGTAATTATTTATTTTCACAAAATAAAATTCCTCAAAAAAAGAATATCACAGTCCCAAAATTGTGTGAGGACCATTTTATTTTAGAAACTGTGTGGTATTAATAACCTCTGAAAATAGGATTTTTGTGTGGATAAGAAGAGCACTGCTGACATGTAAAGTCAATATTATTTTTGACTCATATTTATATGCCCCTAGATACCTGACACGTGGCAGAAGCCCAGTTGGTAGATACATCCAATACTTCTGTAGCATTCATGAGATTCTGCGGAAAAGGAAAACGTGGACAATATTTTCTTTCTAACCTTAAAATCTCAGAGCCAATCAGATTTCTATATGAATATGAATGTGGATAAGGTCATTTTTGTCATTTCAGATGTATCGAAAAATGTATATTAGTGTTGTTATTAACCGTATATATGTTGGGGGTTGAACTTATATTTGAGAAAAGCATGCACATTGGTTACATTTTTTAACGTATTCAAATCTTTTAACTTGAAATGTACATGTTGCATCACTAGATTTTAATATATTTTCAAGTTTGCTTTAGTACTTGACGATTTATTTACGAGAACATACAAGTTGTATTTCTGTATTCTAGGTAGCTTCTTTCAACTTTCTTTTTATTCTTGTCAATTTTTACTTATAAGAAAGTTCCATGAACTATATTAAAGACTCGTTTGATTTTCGTTTCAATTTTCAATGTTAAGTTTCGAATTCATTTTCAGTTTTTTGTTTGGGGTATATTTTAAGATTGCAGAAAACAAGTTTGATTGTTATTTCTGAAAATTGTTTCTTATAATAGAAAATTGAAAAACATGTTTGGTTTGAAATCTTTAGAATTCGTATTATGACATTTTATTTGATTATTTAGTAGAATGTAATAGTTTTATGTTAATATATTATTAAGAACTTTATACATTTTAAGATTGATGAATATTGAAAAAAATGCGTTACAAAAATAAATTATAGGCAAATAATAAATTGACTTGACAAAAAATAGGAAACAAATCTCATTAAACCCTCCTTCCATGTTGTTTAAGATATCCATGCACACCAATTTTGAATGAGGATTACTATTGCCTAATTGGTTAGACGTTTTTCGCAAGCTTTTCTTTCAAATATAGTGTCCTCAATTCAATTTCCACGTTCCTCGTGCAAATTGTAGATGATTATAGTGACACACATGCCTCAAGTTTTTCACCTTTACTGATATTGGTTCCTTATGTTGGCGTTCTTTAGGTGTCATATTGTCACACTGATTAGTATTTGTAACTTTATCATTATCTTTCCACAAATACAAGCATACTAATGCTAAAAAATCATTTTCTGACCGTCTTTTTTCCTCTGATGTTGGAGGAAATGATAAATGAATTTTACATGCTACTTGCATTTATAAACTTCTGTTATATTTGTAAATTTGATTGAATTTCTACTTAATTTAATTATAAATATTGTTAATAAACCCAGACTTGGAGGCATTTACGGCAAAAGAATAATTTTTTAGACTAATTGGAGTTTAATTGGAGCAATTGAAGACTAACCGGATTGTAGATCAATGAGAGGAAAGTCGCAAGTTTCGAGAGTTATATTTAATTTATCTAAAGTTAGAGAACTAAATTGCACGTTTTCATGACTTTGGAGGACCAAGAGGTTCGAGGACCACTATGGAAGCTTTTAAAAGTTTTGGGATCAATATTGAAGATTATGACCAAAAAGGAGAAAAATTATTAAGGACCAAGGTTGGCCTTGATTTGCAAATAAAATTTCTATACAAAGAGTTTTATCAGTCTTTCATGAATTTTCATTGGAGGAATTATATTTCTTCTATTTTTCATATTTTCAGTGCAACAAAAATATATTTTAGAATTATGTTATAAATTTAACCCTTGTTTGATTCTAATTTTTTTTTTCAAAATACATTTTTCTATATTTTCTTTTCAACCACATCTTTTTCAATAAAATAATAGTACACGCAATCCAAAAAAATTTCTTCATTTTTAACCATATATTTTCCATCAATATATTATTAAAAAATACACCAAAAATCCTTAATCTTATTTTCAAAATCAGTTTTGCCGTGTGTACAAAAACTGTGCACACAGAAAATGCTAGAACACACACAACACGGGTGAGTTTTCTATTGAACTTCTGTAGGGAATTTTTCTGTACAAATGAAAACATTCTTTCAAAATATCAAATTACTGAAAAAAAATCCAATTTAAAAGATTGTGATATGTTTTAAATGCATCAATAGTTATTCAACTTTTCATAGTCTACGTGCAGTCTTTTCAACCATTACAAAATAATACATATCCACATTTGAAAAATGGTGAGTAGGCTATTGATTTGTCATTTTCTAATTCGATTGATTGAATATCAGCTGTTCAATTATGCCTTAACCCAAATTATTTTTGTTAGGACAATGCGTTGATTGTTCTATCTTCTACTTTCTCATACGTTTAAGGATAATAGTGGTTGATTAGACTTAAAATCAAAATTTGTTGAAATATAAATCTTTACTCAATTCACATTCGATAATCAAATAACAGATGTTAATAGAACGCTAAATTCTCGTTGACGACTAAAGAAGAGAGAGAGAGAGAGAGAGAGTACTAGCTTCTATAACATGACATGAAGAGTAGAAAAGAAATGTTGAATCGAAGGAATCGAACATGCTCGATGTCAAAAAAAACGACTTGCTAAGTCATCTTGCATACTTTAGGTGCGGACATATCAACTTTCATTTTCTTCTTTTTTTTTTTTTTTGTTTTTTTTTCTTTTTTTTTTTTGTTTTTTTGGTTTTTGGTTTTGTTTTTTTAAA